CTCTAATCTCTCTCAATTCCAAATGTCGCGCACTCAATTCTCTCCCAGCCACCGAGTAACTCTCCGCGCAGTGATGTCTAGAACGTCTCTCAGCTAGAAGGTGGACGCGCGCAGCTCGCACCAGAAATTGAAATCGCAAATTCAAGAATGGGGCGTCCTCTGTCCGCTCGTAGGAGGTCATGGTCGGCTCTCGGTCGTGAAAGTTGAATCACTTGATGGCCGCGCCGGCTCCGAGGTATAACGGCCTTCTCTTTTACGCGCGGCTTCACGCTCCGCCGACGCCGACTTTACTCACACGCTCGAATTGGTAATTTGAACTCCGCCAGCGTACCACGCCGCGGTCATGGTCGCGCAGCGCCGAAGGCGGATTTCTCGCCGACGCGCTACACTCATCCGTACTTCAACTTGGCTAGTCCCGCTCCGCCGAAGGCGTTCGTCCGCGCATAGGACAAAAGTCGAACTCCCTTCTGCGTAGGCGGAATCCCCGGCGGAGTTTGCGCCGGCGCCAAACTTCATCTGCTTGTGCGTAGGCGCTCGCCTATGCGTAGGCGAATTCCGTCCGCACACATGACGTTCGTTCGCGCAGGTCCCTCGCCGTAGGCGCAGCGCCGAAGGCGGCTGTGCCGAAGGCGTTGACCGCGGTCAACGGACTCCGTCCGGTCTTTCCATCTCTCTCGCCTCTCCGTCGGCGCTCTTGTCTCCGGAACCCCGACCGGCCGAAGGCGCACTCGTCCGTTCCGTCCGTACGGATCTTGCTACTCCGTTGGGTCCTCACCCAACCGTGATGCGTTGGCGCCGAAGGCGCCGTACAAGTTTCAACCCCGAAAGCGGATTTCTAGGGCCGAAGGCGGACTTCCCGTCGACGCCGAAGCGCCTATGCGTAGGCGCAAGTCCTCCCCGCCTATGCGTAGGCGGCATTCTCGGCGGACTCTCCGCCGACGTCAAACCCTATTTTGCCTATGCGTAGGCGAACTTCCCTCGCTTATGCGTAGGCGAAGGTCTTCGTATCTTTCGACCGTCACAACTCCCTGAGTCTTGATCTGTTCCAAGCGTTCTTGGGCTCGTTAGAACGAGCGCGTCGGGCTCTTTCCAACGAAACCCTAACCAAGTCAAGGCGTTTGGGAATTGCTTAGATTCTGAAGGATTCCTCTAGCGCCGAAGGCGTAGCGCCGAAGGAGGATTATGCGCCTTGCGCCGAAGGGGTACTCCTTCAGAGCCCGTCGTTTAGGGCGGCGTCTGTCCCAGACGTTGCGTCCAACTCCTGGATTCTACGAGATTCTACGAGATTCTCCGAGATCATCTAGTTTCACTCTATTTTGATGCACCGATGGCTATTTACACTGCTGCCGCGGTACAGTTTTCCAAAAATGTTTTAAATTCCGCAAAAATACCAAAAGTGGGGTACCACATGTGTTTTCTTCGGTCCCGGTATATTATTGAGACACTTCATATTATGATGTAAACAAGACCATACATCGTTCACAAGCCTTAAAACGGATTCATGAGGAGCTTTCTAAACATACAACCACGTAATCTGAAGATGAGGGGATCCGCGCGGCTCTAATAAAGAGCTTTATGCTAGCCATAAAATCTCCGTACTCTGTAAGCTTTTGACGATTAAGTTTCATAATCACAAGTTGCGAGGTAGTCGAGTGGTAGTCAACATTATTGATGAATAACAAAGGTTCGGATCTCGATAAGACGATTGACCACATCCAGACAAACTAATATGAAAGCATGTATGAGTACAGTGCCGAAGTGTTTGACGATTGTCTTGGAGATATATTAAAATGACATCAACACTTCCTCAGCTTGTAACAGGCTGTAAAGTTTTCAATAGCGTAGCTGATTTACCGAAGTCTAATATTTGAATATTCTCTCATGGAGGTGACAAGGAGCAAACATGGTACAAACACCTATATCTGACAAGGTAAATAAGTTATACAACATATGAATACGGACCTTTCAATCGTGAAACAATAGCAGCTCCCCTAATTCTCCTGCTGGTTTTGATGCTTACATATAGGGGTATAGGGGGTTAGGGTTTTAACCCTAAGTATGCAATATCTTTACTAGACAAGCAGTAAGCACACAAGAATTCGGAGATTTGATGACAGAATCAAATCCTGTTCGTTGCCAGAGGAGAACTTTAGAATTTCATTCTACATACAATGCTTGACCTTTTTGCTATACAAATTATACAAAGGCGACAAGGAGTGAGATGTGATCTCACTCCTTATCACTTTTATATAATTTGAACTCTTAGACTTTCAAGTTCCAACGAATTATAACATCTCCGTATCAAGCGCCTGACTTTATCAACGATATACAAGAGGGCCGTCGGCTCGAAGAGCAGAAACATACAAACAAACAAATTGGTTGGTTCTAGGTTCTCGGTTTTTCACTCTTCGTTCCTTTAATTGTTACTCGTAGATCTCGGATCTTGTTTGTATTTTATATATGATATCGTAACAGAATAATTCAGGATTTAAACGTTGATCCAAGACTCAGAATTATAGGACGAATAAATGAGTGTATAGATCGTGCACTGCAAATGGAAGACAATGGCAATATCGCGTGCAGTGCATCACTCACAGCATTACAACATTTTCTAAGTCCAAAAATGTCGATACTTACAACAAAAGCAGTTTACTTTCTAGGATAATATACACCGGAAAATACATGTGCTTAGTACTGTATACTGGGAGCAAGCACTACTACGTACCTTCCACCTTAAAAAACTCTCGCCGTCACGTGGGTATTCTGATGGTAATATAAAGACATAAATCAAGTCATACTATGAGCTGATGGTACATGAGTCGCCTTCTAAGCTGGCTTGACTGGAAGAGACAGAAGATATGCATGCTTTATATGCAAGAAGACTTGGAAGCAATATTCCATTAATATTTTGTTTTTTACTTGGATCTTGTAAAGTGACCTGTGCATCGGATGAGAGTCCAACTCTCAAAACTGTTAAGGCTAAGATTTTTTGTCCTGAATATCTGTCTCCCTCTACTTCTTTGAGTATGTGACAAAGGCGTCGCACTTGAAGTATCATGGCCTCGCCATCACAATTGCCTTCACACGAAAAGAATGGAAGGGACGTATAATACAACCCGACTGGTGACCAATACTCTTTCACCATCATACTGGTCTCAGAATGGGCAGAAGAAGCTTCTCAGTTGTTGAGCATGAAGATCTGAGCATGTGTCAGCAATCCTTGGACATGAATCGTGGATTGTTTTCAAATTTCTCATTCTTTAAAACTTAGGATAAACGCTTGTTCCAATTTTTATTATGTAGGGATAGAAGAAGTCTACAGTAGCTAACATTTAGTTCCAGCATGCTTTTGTTCGAGAACCAGCTGTCTTCTCGCTGCAGGTTAAAGATCTTTGGACGAAAGTTCTTCGCCTGGGCAAGATCTGATTTGGCACATCTATGGGTCTATGCTTTTGTGAAAAGGACATTCATTCTGTGGGTGATTTTCTCTAGTTCTCTGCCTGTTAGGAGCTGAATCATTAGCCCCTAACAGAAGGGAAAGGATACTTATCCAATATCTTGGTCTCCGGATGTTTGCAGCTAGCACACACGCATCACGAATGATCACAGTGATCAGCTGCACAGTTCACCTCGTCCTTCTTGAACAGCATGCTTTCTGCGAAATGGAATATCTCGTAACCTCGTGGACAGGAGAGACGGTATGACTCAATTGAGAAATCAGTAGAGAAGAGAAATACCAGCTGTAGAAGAACATAAGTGTCTCAACAGGAATGGAAAGTGGTTTTGATTTTTTTTATAGAGGATACCAGATTCCAGATTCTGGGGGAAACTGGTCCTTCAGCCAGAAGTTATCATCAGAAAGAAGTCTTCCATCAGATGGATTGAATCAACGGAGCAAGGGAGACATCTTAATGAGAAGATTCCAGTTTGTACAGTCAGGATGGTATCAGGATGGGTTTCTGGAATACAAAGGAACATAGAGAACAGTTATACTTGAAAGGCACTGAAATGTGACCACAGCTAATTCAAGAATCTGATTGCTAACTCTCAAAAAAAATTCCTCAATTCCAAAAAAAAATTCTTAGTGATCAGGCCAATACCTTCTGGTGTTATGAAGTTAGACATTGATTTAGTATTGTAAATGTGCGAAATGATAAAGTTGTGGGCTACAGCAAATCAGATCAAACTGGAGCTAATCACTAGTAAGGGATGGTCTTTTGTAAGTGCTCCGAAATGTGATGCGATATAGTGGGTGATAGCGACTCATACTACCGAGCAGTGCTTTCTGCAATCTGATGTTAGTCTTTAATGTACGATAATGGCAGGGGACCTAAAGGTAACAGATATTTCTAATGGGGATTGTTGGCAAAACAACTTCAGTCTTTCACGGACAAGAAGAACGACGTTCGTCGGAGTAAAGTACTCAAAGCAGTCATCCAATCATTGACCACAATTGCTTGGCACCAGTGACCCAGTAGTGGTTCACAAACTCTGAATAGTGAGTCTTGCTTCAATTGTATACCTTTCCCACGTAATCTATCATTATTCGAGTACTTAGGGTGTCCTGGAGTCATTGTGGTTTACTGATGCGACAAGGTGAACGTTTAGTGCTACTGCATGTTAGAAAGCTGGGCACTCGCATGACAACGTGATGAAAGAAAATTGTTGAATGATTCAAGTAATTACTGCGCAGAATGCAGGATGCAGAGGAAAAGACAAGTTACAAGTTCTTAGAAGCATATATGTTCTTTCTACGACGTCAGATGCTACATGAACATTAGTAGCCGAAAATACGCCATCTTACACAGAAAGAACCTACCTCCAATTGCTTGTCTTAACACAAGCACGCAACTCATCTGTGTTCGACAGCTTGTCCAGTCGTCCATTCGTCCACCTCGACAATACAGATCGTGATTGAAATTGCAGTGACATTTCACCAATACGCCATGTCGACTTCTCTGGCTAGTTTACTGAACGAGAAAATCTGATCGCAGCTTTCGGTGAATTGCTAATTTTGAACTTTTAATAATTGACGGGTAGTAGATACATATACAACGAAATAAAAGGAAAGCAAGATTTCAAAAGAGTCCTGACTACTTTTCCAATACATCTACATGATCTGCACTAAGATTATGATCAATGAGTTCGACCGCCTGGAACCTGTGGCCCTGCTCTGTGCGGCGAATTAACAAAACCAGAATCCTTGAGAGTTCAAAATATACTTCCCCAACAACCCTGCTTAGACAAGTTCTATATGTTTCTGGTATTCTTTCACTTTTGAGCAAATAAATGGGGTTTATCTGCGTACCCCTCAAACGTCCTCCGTGTGCTGTGTCTAATTTGATCTAAACTTGACAAAGAAGAATCCCACCCACTGAAAAATATGGACTGTACTGATACAATATAAACAAAATATGTAAGTGCTGACAAGGATTTTAAAAGTTGCTGGCACCAGCTGAACCCTGTAAGAGGCCATTGCGAATCTGCTCGGCCACATCTCTGACAGCCCCTGGTCCATGTGGTATGAAGACAGTTGAGTTCTTGGAATGTGATCCAATTTCTTTCATGGTATCGAAATATTGGGTGACCAGGACCATATCAAGCACATCTTTTGCAGATGTCCCGGGAACGTTGTGAGAAAATGCTACTACACTCTCCCGCAATCCATCAACAATGGCCTGGCGCTGTCGAGCAATACCAACACCTGATAGATACTTAGCCTCTGCTTCTGCTTCCGCCCTTTTGACCTGCAAAATCTTCTCTGCTTCTGCCTTCTCACTAGTGGCCTGCCTCATTCGTTGTGCTGCACAGTTGAAATAAAAGGGCATTGGGCAGAGACAGGTAGGACAATTTGCGGTTCCATGCACTCAACTACGAACTAGTGATCGACTGATGTATTGACATACAGCATATCTCTAGAAAGGAAATACAGTATGCATACATATTATTAATCCCCCAATAAAGGTTGGGCACATAATTACATTCATTGCCTGAAAAACCTCACATGCATTCACTGTGACTCGGCGATCAGCATTACCTGCATTGATTTCATTCATGGCACGTTTGACAGTTTCATCGGGCTCGACATCCACGATCAATGTTTGCACAATCTCGTACCCATAGTTGCTCATCGCCTGCACATCAAGGTATACATCAAGGTATACATCAGCTTGACATTTACAAACCTTGATATAAAAACATATGAACGCAACCAAGCGCCTAAATGCACAATTAGATATCTTAGTGGTTTCGCCAATCCTCATTGGCTGTTGGATTGCAAGCAGCACTCAACCAGCCAAGCGGCCTTGGTAAAATTTTGCAAACTCTCTTCACATTCTCAACCATACAGTATGAACTTTGACGGTCTGTAGCACACCCACAGTATACAGATAGGATATGCATATACAACACCTTCTCCAGCTCTTCCTCCACATTCTTGGCGATATCACTCTTCTGTTCGAAAACATCATCAAGGATCATCTTCGGGACGCTCGCCCTGACGACTGTGTAGAAGGAAAAACACAACTGTAAATTGAACGTATTTTTCTGCTTGTACATCTATGTACTGCACCTACAGTGACGAGAACATATAAAAAGCCGACTAAAAAGATGCAGACTCCAAGAAGTGAGCTGCTCTCTATGAAACTTCTTCGTACTCAACATCGCAGCACAGCAATCAGTTTATTTTAAGTACCGACTTCAAAACATCATCTCACATGTTTGTCTACATAGAACCATAGATCGTGCGATGTAGCATGATCTGAGACATTAATGTTCCTTCCAGACTCACCATCGAAGACGTAAGACTGGATTTGAGAACGAGGGTTCGTGAGTTTGTAGTAAGCATCGAAGGCAGAGTCCTTGATAGCTCTATATTGGACTGATGCAACCACGGTGACGAATACATTGTCCTGAAAATATACAAAACGTCATAAACAAGTCTCGGCCAAAGATACTCTCCCTCACTTCAAGAGAAAAACAATCATCAACAAGACATTATTCTGAAAGTCTTCGTAAAAAGAAGAGCTGTTCGAAAACATTTGATATACAAAGTTCTGTAAAACAAATCACGTAGGATACGTAGCATTTACGGTGACAACTCTGATTCCAAACCATATGCCAACACATATCCTTCAACAGTGGAAAGTACATAGTACCAATCGTGTTAAGGACAAAAACTGCTCATTTGACCAACAAAATGACAATAGACAACTGCCAAAAGGATTCTTTATCATATGAAGCGACAAGAGAAGAAAGTTTCACCAGACCTTGGTTTTTGTTTCGCACCGTACGTCAAGCTGTTGAACACGAAGTGACAGAATGCCAGCAATGTTTATTCCACAACACCAAGGTACGCAATGAATACCCGGCTCAACAACTTTCCGGAACTTCCCGAACTGTTCTTTCACACCAACAGTGGACTGGTCTACCTGGATACATCCCAAGGCTCCTCCCATAGCTAAAAATTACTATATCTGTAAACAAGGTACAAACCAAGTTAGAAATCACATACATTGCATATCTTTAAATGATGTAAATGCGACTGTCTCTTTGCTTCAACCGGCTTGACATCCCCGTCTGTTTAACAAACAAGAGTTCAAAATGAGGAATCAAATCGACAAAAGCCATCGCTTTCATCTGTCAAAACTGCAAAAGTAATAAACTGTAAATACATCCATCTCGTTTCCAGAGGATGTTAACTCCTTCAATACATGTATTCCTACTTCGCTGCTCCTATACCAACCAAAGCTATAGTGGACTATGCATCAATATGGTACGCAGGAGATAGACGATCAAAAGTCTGTATACACCATGATAGTCAAGTAGAAATCTAGTTTGTTTGCTTGGTGCTCGAAAATCTGTATTTTGTAAGCAAACATAGTCATGTACCCCTTGCTACTTCAGAGTACAACTGTGGTCATTATAATTTACTCCCTATGTGTTATTATTGAAGAACCTAATGTGTCTGTCCAGGGTTAGAGAAAATAATCTCTAATCTCTCCAAAAATCACTCCGAGAGACAATTGACATGCAACCTACTTGAACGTAGATGAAGCAACGGCAGATACCCAGGTCTGCAGTAGAGCAATCGCCAAACAGGTGCAGCTAACAATCGAGGGAAGACGACATTCAGCAACAAAAAATTGTGGAAGGGGAAACGAATTATTGTCAGGCACCACTAAGGTACCCAGGAAGGGATCTCCAAGCCTGGATACTATCCTTAGCCGCGCGCTTGCGTACAATTCAAATAGTTTCTTCCACTGGATATGCGCGACCCCCTCCTCTATATGTAAATCACGTAAATGCTGGGCAAAAAGAACCTAGATACTACTTGCGCTTTCTTCGGGTCCAGAAAGAAAAACTGTCAGCTAAGGAGGAAGAATTGATGTAAGCCTTGACACTTCAAGGGACTACTATGTGGAAAAGCGAACGCGGCCGTTCCGATGAAATACAGACGGAAAGAGGCAAAACTTTAAAATACAGCCATTGTCATCGTGAAATAAGGGTGAAGAACAGAAAGATGCCCAAAACCTACGTCACAGCAGAAATCACCGCAGAAGAACAAAGAAACTCCAAGAGCAGACAAACTTCCACGTACTCGTAGCAGTCGTTTTGACAAAGGCGTTCGCACCTAGTTCGTGCTCCTGGGGAATTAACCAACTCTGATGGATAAAAAACATATTCGACAAATGAGGCCGGCAGAAGATAGAAAAACAGGAAGCTCGATGGATATTCTCTTCGCCGAATGTTCGAGGGCAGTCCGGAGAGCCAGCAGAATCCAGTTCCCTCCGTGCACCTCTTACCGTGCCGACCTATCTCAATGCTTCAAAGTGGCAAGTGCACAGACGCTGAAACTAGAACTCGTGGCGCGAATCACATTGTTTCAAGTGAACGACGTACGCAAAACCTCCTGCTTCTCAAGTACGAACTCCGCAGGACGATTATCTCCAGACCCAACACATCCGAACCAGTTTCGTGAAAAACGTACCTGGGATTCTCTGCAACAGGGTCGACGAATTTTTCCCTGCGTCTGTCGCAAAGCCGGAAATTTATTTCTTAATTATACGTGTAAGTTCCTCCACTACGTATGTCCAAGCCCAGGACTCCGGACGTCAGCTCGCTATCAAAGCTAGTTGGTTCAAGCACTCCAGCTCCGGAAGGTCTACGACCTTAAATACTCGGCACTCTGCGACGCGAGGACAAGCGAGTCGGACGATAACAATTCCAAACCGTGTGGATGGCGACGGACCTACGGAGAAGGAGGCGGGTGCAAAAGAATGTGCCCCACACGCTATCACTCGATGGGATCGAAGAACAGCAGGCAGGGAAGGCTAGAGCTGCGGCCCGAGTGCGGGTGGGGTCAACGAAACAAGATAATGTTCCTAAAGAGAGAAAAGCGCAGAGCGTGCAGCTTCATTGAATCTACGAGGCCTGGAAAATCCTCGTTTCCTGCTTGATGATCGATCGATCGATCGCCCTGTACCTCTTCCACCACGCTTGCTATTACCAGCACACCGCGGTCAAAGGTCCCCCGGCGCTCTACATGAACCCGGCCGCCAATCGCACTCCATCGCCGCTACCTGCCAAATCTGCATCAGCCGTCGTCGTCAGCCGTGACGACTTTCCTCCAGGGTGGCGATCCTGCCACGGTGGCGCCAACGTGGGACCCGCCAGATCCGCGCCAGTTGTCCGCCGCGCTCCCGGGTTTGACAATGGGAGAGGAATATGGGTCTCTTGCAAATCCGACTCATCGCAGACCCACGCCAGGTAGATTTTGTGCGAGCCCAGGGCCGGGGAGTCGGCATCCGCATCTGCCCCTCCATGACTTGAGACCGTTTGTGGCGACCCGCATCAGGTCCAAGCTGAAAATCGAAGCTCGGCTCGAGGAGCCGAATGACATGCGCTCGAGGTGGGCGAGGAGTCATGGGAACACACTTCGTCGACGACGACGACTGTGCGCACGCGAAGGTCGTGGATCTCGACGACCAGGCAGGCTCTCTACTGTTCGAGCCTGATCGAGCACGTACCTTTCGCACGGGAAAACCCTCGCTCTCGTGCAAGGTCTTTCTCTGCGATCACCTTCCCTCACCGAAATCCTGGACCAGCCTTGCACTGAATGCGGTCTGGCTCGAGCCACAGGACGACGTCGCCATCTGTGCCATCGAATGGACCTGCTTATGGAGAATTGTGACTCGGAAGAGCATCCTCAGCCCTCAGCCTTACGCCATTTCCAACGTGTAATTCCTCCGCCTAGTTGGCTAACGTGACAAGGCCCGAGCTTCGAGGTTTCTATTCTGAGGTTAATGTCCCAACGACCCCGAGGTGCCATCTCACTACAGTTTGTGGGTGTTGTATGTTGCCGGAAAGGAAATCTGAACTAACGAATATTGAGCGTGTGATAAGGATAGTCCCATTATTCCCAATAATAAGCACCCGGCGGAGTTTCAATACAAACCTATACATATGGACCTATGATTTCCATTAACTGAAATCGTCTGCCGCTCGCACAGTTATTGGTTGTCTTCAGGAGCGGGAAAAATTTGCATTATATCATTTGGAAAAAAGAGTCTGAATTATAGGAGTGAGGGTTAGTCTCTTTTTCCAGAAGTTACCCTTTCAGGCTCTCGAAAGGCTTTCTCGTGCGAAGTTATTTTTACGGGATTAGCATTGGAAACTCAAGGGTGAGTGATGAAATCTCGCATTTAAAACATGTGAACTACCTCGTACCTTTATTAGTTTAAGAATCAAGATTATTTATTAAAAAAATTTAAAATATTATTATGGCCCTAGTTTTATCTATATCTCTACATTTCATTCTCATTCTTTCAAGGTGCTCAATGTAAGAAGAAGAAATATTTTATCCATCTTTTCAATCCAACTTTTTGCTGTTCCAAAGTTCTTTTTCTTCTTTGACAATCTTTTTCCTTTTGCACGACTAGTTGCTGGTCTTATACGAACCTTGAACCAAGACGACGAATCAAAAAGTCGTCTGTTCACAAATGTCTAAAGATGACACAGTCTCTCCAGCGCAAACCAAGCCGCGAGAAATTGGAAAGATCCAATCTTAGGAAACAGTACAATGGATGTTGAATTTGAATCCACGTCCACTGGCTTCCTCATCACGCCTAAACATTCTAAGCGTCAAACACTCCAAAATAATTCCTACCGTGATCCTTTCACCACGTCGTGTACCCTGGAACATGGATTCGGACGTGGTTCAGTTAGGGACCGATATTTACGTTATTTACGATTCCGATATTTAAGGTCCCCTGCCCTGAACGGGCCTACGATTATCAATACTGTACACAATGCTCCATGCAGTATGGAGCATTGTGTATTAATATATGCAGCAGGGACCATGCTCGATACCAAGTTGTGCCGTGCTCGTAGGGTGATCTACTTCTGGCCTCTCTCCGTGTTCCTCTACAGGCTACAGTTGGTATCCCTCTGTAGGTGCCTGCAGTCATAATCATAATCAAGACGGATAATTCTGATAATTTCGGCTAGACTTAAAAGGAAGAGACCCTCCTTGCGAATGATTCAAAAGTGGAATAGAAAAGTAATACAATTGTAAATATGAATAGAATAATCAAATCGAAATGCTGAACTGATTTCCATTAGCCTAATCTAATTCTCTATCTGCAATCCAGGTCTTGCTTAAATCAAGTACTTAGCAAATATTTATCTAATATTTGGTGCCCCCAGTGCGAGGCACCTCCCCATTTGGTGTGATCCGACAGTCCCGCCTTAACAGCGACTGCCTCAAATGACATACTCTGTACAAGGAAAGAGTTGTATTAAGCAAGTCAACAGAGAAGGCTGACCGGTTCATGCGGTTTGCATTGACTGGGTTCTACAACTGACCTGGACTGATCAGATTTGCCTAGTGTCATCAATGAATGGTGGACTTCATCTCCAAATTGCACCTGCTCTGATGGTAGTGTTCTATCATCAGTATAGGTATATCCTATATGATTCCGTCTATGCTCTAGACGGAGTCATATGTTAAAATAATATGAGCACGGAGCTATGTTTGACAAAGTACCGAACTTTATGAAAAAGGGGAGACATTTGGAGGGTCCATCACATGGAGGGGCTATCTTTTGAATTTGCATGTTGCAGTAGGCAGTTATGATCAAGGAACATGATAGATTGTGAACATATGCATCTGCTCAATAAATACTAAATAATAACAATAAATATTACATAAAAATGTTCCTGCATGTTATTTATGCAGGAATAAATATTTCTGCATAAATAAGAAGCATAAATGTTTATAACATTCACCATCTGAGGGGAAAAAATTAAAAATATCATAGAAGACACAACTACGACAAACTACATGTAATTATCATTTGTTTGGATGATGCTTAAAACTGAATTTAATTTAATTTTTTAAATCTTTCTAGAGATGTGCTAAAAAAATTATTTATATCAAAAAAATCAAGAGTTCAAATATTCTTATTTGAACTCTTAAAAATATCCCAACATTTCTAAATTCTTGAGGTTTTTTCAACGAAAAGCCTATAATGATATATGTAAAAATGTCAAATATCACATCCCAATATTCACATCTTCTTTTTTGGTAACTCGCAAGTTTGGATACAAAAAATCTTCTGGATAATTTGAAACTATATTTTAGCTTCCAGTCAAAGGAAAGACCTAAGATTTATTATGCAACTTCTTCTTTTTTATATCAGAAACTTGTGATACGATCGGTGTCAATAAAACAACAAACAACAAACAACAACCTTAATCAATATATATATATATATATATATATATAAACATACATCTAAGAACAAATGAGTGGAATTTATCTAGTTCTGCATATAAATATGAATTATATAAAAAAAATTCAAAGCCTTATTAAATAGACATTTTTTTCTCATTTGAAGTTCCAAAAACATATCTATGTATGTGAATTTAGCCCTTAATGTTGTTTAAAACGCTGAGAGTCTGGAATACATACAGTACTTTGAAAAATAGATTCATTTAAAAATTCACATATCCCATAATTTAAGTAGATATATTTTTAAAATTTTATCCTTTCGAGGAAATGATTAAAAAAAACTTCATTATAATCACATATGAATTTAGATATTTCAGCAGTTGAAACATCTGAGGAGATCCATTCTTTCCGAAAAACAGTGAAACAAGCGTGTGTTTTGCTGTTGACACGTGCGGGGCCTGGATACGTTTAAGACCCTAAGGGCTGCGTCATTTGGTTTTTGGACTACGAATAGGCAACATTGGCAGTGGTCTGTCACGACTATACTTGAACAGGATCTGTTCTATAGTACGTACATCTTGATCTGTGATCGCTATCACAGACAAGTCCCTTAGCCCGGACGATGAGCAGAGGCTTGAGTGCCAGTGCGCGAATACTGCAGGCCGTGCTCGATGCAAATCTGAGAATGGTCAGCTTGATGAACGTCCTGCCGCGCTCATTCCGCCGGCGGTGAGGGCACTCAAGCGTTCTGACGGGTTCATTCTTTTCCTTTTGTTCGGGAAACAGAATGGAACAAATTTTTTGCATTTGAGGGTGGGGAGCTCCTCTTAGAACTTCTTTTTAGTGTACTCTTGAGATGAAAAACAAGGTGTCGAAATGATCAGTTTGGAAACTCAATCTTTCTGGCCTGCACTTTTGTCTCCGTTGGTCTGCGATCATCAGAATCATGCCATTTCTGATGTAATGCAAATATGTGCAACTAAACCCAGTACGCAGCTGAAACTCGGACACCAGAGACCTCCGGGTTAAAACCGTATGTGTAGCAAGTGTGATAAATCGTATAGGCACTTCGGCACAGCTATGTCCATTATTACCATTTATAGTTCTAGCCCAGACAATAGATGTAGGACCTACCTCTACTGCCTGTTCCTTTCATGACTAACTATCCCGTAGGTAGTCATTACAGGTCCTAGTAATGTTCAAAGTCGAATTGCAATGTCGAATATTGCCGTGATTTTAAACGAGCTATACAACAATACATACTTTAATAAAAGTTAAATTTCTAATAGTTATCTTAATTTGATGTGACTCGAAAGATTTTCACTTCATCCATTTCCATTTTTTCATATTGAATTGATGCATGATAAACCATCATTCTTCCGGTTCGTTTTAGTTTATTGCAATTTATTAGCTCTCTTATATAACGTCAAATACCCTTTCAAACTGAGCACACACGGATAATCATAGATTTTGCAAGAGTATAAACCAGCTAGATAGATCATGTTGGATATTTCACACATTATTTCAAGTTAAAATCTATGATCTAATGATAGCTATGAATATATATATATATATCAATAGAATTGTTTTTTTTCACTATTTTATATATTATTATCCATATATAAATGACATATCATGAAAAATTTTATTAATAAATATAATTTTATGAAAAAATTGAGTTTATTTATTGCTTTCAAAAATCGGCTCATTTTTTTCAAACTCATTTCAATTGAGCACTGAGTTTTAAAAAAAATCCTTAAATATAATCA